TGCAGGACTGTTGTATTTGACTACATTAGCTAATGAACTGGCAATTGAGTGTATGTTTTATGTTCTGCAGACGAGATCTTGGCTCAAATCCACAAGTCAGGCTTCAACGTGGCACTCCAAAGAGAGGTGATGTTGACGGGGGAGCAGGTCAGACAGTTTTACTTTCAACATGTCGAGGAGGACTACTTTCCTGCACTGCTCAGGAGCATGACAAGGTGACTGACACAATGCTCTAAAGAAAATCTACAGAGCGATATGTTACTGCAGAGATGCCTTTAACGTTTGTGTATTTACAGTGGGCCAGTGCTAGCTTTGGCTCTAGCCAGATCGGGGGCTGTCCATCACTGGAAGAACATCCTCGGTCCTTCTGATGTTAATAAAGCCAGAGAGGAGAGTCCTGAGTGGTGAGTGATGTGCGGTTGTATTAATTTATACAATTAAAAGAGTCCAGAGAAGTCACTGCGGTAGCTTGTTAGAAAGAACTCTCTTTAACTTTGTCAGGTTTTTCAGGCTATTATACACAAATGTGTGATTAAAGAGAGGAAAGGCTTACCATTTTGCCCTGACAATCTACAATCTCACAGGAAGAAATTAATCAGATAGCAGTTTCCTTTCTGACGGTAGTAAAGTTGCGAGACAAAGATGAAGTTTAGAGACAAAGTTCTGTTGTCGTCTCTCTTCACCTGCAGTGCGCCACGTTCACTCCAGTTTCTGGGGTTTCTTGAAAGGCAATCTTAGTAGAAGCAGACAAGGCAGGGTGAGACAAAGTGAAGAGACACAATATAATACATTTCACCACTTCATCCTTAAAATAATTCCTGGAAAGCATCAAATATTAGCTTTTATAGATGGTACCTAACAGTCTAATCATTACTGTAACACTGTATCCTTCATCACTCAGTCTAAGGGCCCAGTTTGCTGTGGAGAATGAGCCTATCAACCAGCTACATGGCAGCGCAAGCCACGAAGAGGCAGAACAAGAAATCAACTTCTTCTTCCCTAAACAGCAAACACTGGCGGTGATCAAGCCTGATGCTATGGAGGAACACAGAGGTCCTTATGGTCATTTAGAACAATATAAAATTGTTATTTACTTGTGTTTGTATAGGTCTGCACAGATAATCATCACCATCCTTATAATGTATTTTCTATTCACTCTAACAGAGAAGATTTTGGAGGAGATCCGTGGCAGTGGTTTCTCTGTAACGCAGCTGAAGGAGACGGTGCTTTCGAAGGAGATGGCTGAGGAGTTTTACAAGGAGCACAGAGAGAAACCTTTCTTCAGCCAGCTGGTGGAATTCATGTGTCGGTCAGTTTATCCCTGGACGCTACTAAAGGAGAGGGGCAAAGTGACCACAGCAGACCTGTCCTAATTCCTGTTGCCACTGCAAGTTTTAACAGCACTTTAAACAGTAATTTAAGCATCTTAGAATCAAGGCAGCCTCGGGCAAGTGGCTAGAAAGTCCATCTCAATTTCATTCTTTGTTCCACCGCACATCTAGATTTTAGAGTTATCTTCCGCTCCGATTAGTCCCTTCACTTGCTGGTTACACAACTGCTCGGACACAATGGGCAGAGAGATGGGTGCAGCTGGGCACTTCAGCCGGAGAAACTACCTTTACTGTCGCTATCCCTCAATATCAGCTCAGGTTTAGCCTTAATTGTAGTTGTGTATTCTAACTACTGAAGAATGTTTTGTAAAGTTTGTTTTTATAAGGTAACACCTTATCTCTGGCAGTCACCTGTTGGGTAATGTCATGAGTGCACCTATAAATCACTGCAGCAGGGTTAAAAGGTAATCCCCTGAATGAGCCTAGTTAATGTTTTTTTGGCAGTCATTTATGCATCGTGCCCCCTTAAGCTTGTGTCCCATTTTGTATTTATAGGACTCAATACAGAGGAACCTATGAACTCACAATAGTAACTCACAATTGTGGCTCATTCTCAGCCATTTTACAATAGATTTTGTGTTTATTGTTCCATGTGAACACAAGCATATAAACTCCAATCAAAGCAGTCTAGATTAAATACACCGATCAGCCATACCAT